TTACTCCTTTGATCAATGTAATGGCGATCGAGTAGAAACAAAACTATTGTGACTTAACACCGCATACATTGTTCGCCCCTAAATGTATCAATCGGGATATTCGTAACGTCATTTTGTGCATTACAGGCTATTTGAGCATTTCTATTAACTAATGCTTTAAACACATAGACAAAAAAAACATGTTGTACTATGCATGACTCTAAATCAAGCGTATTGTATTGAATTGTAAACACTGTCAAAAAACTTAAACTCAGCAGATACATACTTGACACAGGGGTAATCACAGACCCATAACTCGGGTCAAATATCTGATAATTTAAAATTAAAATCACACATCACATGGCAAATATCAGTACAAAGCCAGTTCAACCCTAGGATTCCTCATCAAACACACATACCACATGCCAAACATCAGTAAAAAGCCAGTTCAACCCTAGGAAGTATTCCTCATCAAACACACACACCACATGCCAAACATCAGAAAAAGCCAGTTCAACCCTAGGATTCCTCATCAAACACATACATTACATGGCAAACATCAGTAAAAAGCCAGTTCAACCCTATGATTCCTCATCAAACACACACATCACATGACAAACATCAATAAAAAGCCAGTTCAACCTTAGGATTCTTCATCAAACACACACATCACATGGCAAACATCAGTAAAAAGCCAGTTCAACCCTATGATTCCTCATCAAACAAACACATCACATGCCAAAGATCAGTAAAAAGCCAGTTCAAGCCTAGGATTCCTCATCAAACACACACATCACATGGCAAACATCAGTAAAAATCCAGTTCACCCCTATGATTCCTCATCAAACACACACATCACATGACAAACATCAATAAAAAGCCAGTTCAACCAAATGATTCCTCATCAAACACACATACAACATGCCAAAGATCAGTAAAAAGCCAGTTCAACCCTATGATTCCTCATCAAACACACACATCACATGACAAACATCAGTAAAAAGCCAGTTTAACCCTTGGATTCTACATCAAACACATCCATCACATGACAAACATCAGTAAAAAGCCAGTTCAACCCTATGATTCCTCATCAAACACACATACAACATGCCAAAGATCAGTAAAAAGCAAGTTCAACCCTATGATTCCTCATCAAACACACACACACACCACATGCCAAAGATCAGTAAAAAGCCAGTTTTAACCTAGGACTCCTCATCAAACACACACATCACATGGCAAACATCAGTAAAAAGCCAGTTCACCCCTATGATTCCTCATCAAACACGCACATCACATGACAAACATGAATAAAAAGCCAGTTCAACCTTAGGATTCGTTTTCAAACACTCATAATACTGGCAAACATCAGTAAAAGCCAGTACAACCTTAGGATTCGTTTACAAACACGCATAATACTGGCAAACATCAGTAAAAAGCCAGCTCCACACTAGGATTCCTCGGATGCAACCTGCTAAAAGAATGCAGATAAAACGCATATATCTCATCGTTAAGATCTATAATAGAGTACGAGCCATGATATATATGGGAACCATACACAAAAAAGTACCAAATAACCAAAACATACGCATGTACATCGAAAGTCTTAAGATTTGCATCACAAAGGCGATGGAATATCTGGACCTATCTTCCCTATGTGTGATAAAAAGAAAAATAGAGAATGATATATAATTTCTATAGAGTTTTGAGGGCTAGATATCAGCACTGTCGTCTTCCAACCACATTATTATAATCAAAGGACGAAGCTAAAGATAAAAGAGTTCGAAGAATGTATAACAACATATATAGTGGGAAGTCAATTACGAATAACACTAACACTGTAAAAATACGACAATTACCCAGTGACCAATATAAGAACTCATATTTCATCAAAACAGCTGTACACTTGAGCAACATAGAAGATAGTAATGTCATAGCACACACATCCGAATTGTCCAAAGCGGCATTTAACAGCCTCAATCCGACTAATTACGCTCTTCGTCCCATTGCATCAATTTGAAAATAGTATAACAAAAATACCGAACTCCAAGAAAAATTCAAAAAGGGGAAGTCCATAAAAACTGACAAAATCAAATGCTACCAATCAACGGAACAAGTGAAAACAACTGTCATTTTCCAGGCTAGGGATTATGCAACGTACCCATTCCGGTACAGATATAGACAGGAGCAGAGTGTTGCAAGTTTTATGCGATAACTATCATACATTTATTTTGTATAACTGATAGCAAAATAATCATGTTTCCCTTAAATTCTTAGTCTAGAACACGTATAGTTTTTTTCTGCCAATCTATTAACACTTTCTTGAATCCAAACTATTTATGTATATATTGACCAGTTGTTCACTAGGTATGTAAAGCAAGTTTATCACAGTTTTTGCTGAACAAGTTAATTTAAAATGTTGTAATATTTAGAACAACGCTTTATATTTACCTATTGCTTCAAAAATCAATTAACAAACAAACAAGATTAAAGCAGTTGCTATATTAAACATGTCATAATGAAAAAGAGTTCTAATCTGATTGTTTAAAATAAATCAAAAAACTTTTTAATCTTAAGATTAACTTTAATACACATGTATATTTCAATAAGTAATGTGTATTGGAATAAGACAATGAAATTAGAGTGGAGTGCATAGATGAGGAAAGGTAAGTGAACTTTTTTTACATCGTTTTTGGCAAAAACAAAAGCATAACACTAGATGTTGCTTGTTAAACATATAACCATTATCATATTAACATGGGTTTCTCTCGGTAATTTTCTAACAGTTTGTTGATTAATTTAGTTCTCTTTTCCAAAATAAAAGTAAAAAAGTACTAGCAAAATAATTTGTTCTAATTGAACATGTTTCCTAAAACAAGTCTTATTGTGATAATCATTATTTTTTGTTTGCTTGTCCAGGAACACAATATTCAAAATTAAGTGATAAAATATAGTTTGCCTAATTGCTTCATCAGAATGCAGGATAGTGCAAATTTGGGAAGCAATGTTGGTCATAACCATGTTAGTCATTGTAACTTCACTATAACATTTAGGGAATGTGGTATAATTGTCAATGATTGAGACAACCATCGACCAGAGTCAAAATCACGTGGATGTAAGCAACCAAAGATCACCAAATATCCTTTATCAAATTTACTTATAAAATGTTATACAATATAACAGATTACGTTATTGTCGACAATTTCATATTGGTTACTTCATTAGGGCAATAAATTAAAAAAATATATATATTTTTTCATTTTTCTGCATGTAAATATAAGAACAAGAGACTTTGAAATGTATACACAAGTTGAAGTGTATTTTAATAGGTGTATTAAAAGAGGTTTAGTGTAAGACGGCAACCCTTCATCACACTACAAAATACGTATAAGAGATAAAAACAATACACAGGCAAATACTGTGTATTAAGCTAAAAAGCATCCCCAGTCTACTTAATGGAATCAATTAATTAAAAATCTTCCATTTTTAAAAAAACAAAAAAAAAAACAAAACAAAAGAAAAACAAATAGGATGAGCAACAAACCCCTCCTAATTTGTTACAAGCACACTCGTCTGTGACGGCAATAAACTAGTTAAATTGAGAACTCAGTCATACAATTTCATCCGTCGAACTAGTGAAGAAAATATACAACAAAAAGTTCAGATAAACACGTAAATCTATAATATCGGGATAACAGAAAGAAAAAAAATAGATGCTTATATCTAGCTAATATAAAAATAAAATGCGGTATGTCTGCCGAAACCACAGGTACTTGTCTCTGAATTGTTTTACCTATACACTTTTGTGTGTTATATTAAAAAGTTCCATTGAATTAGAAACATGTTTTTGGATAGCCGATAGCATGTGATCATGAATAAATATATAAATAGATACATATAAACAGATACATATCAATAGGACGTTTAATAATATATATATATAATAATGATTTATCAATTTGTTTTCATATCATAGTTTAAAAAAATAATGTACATCACCGTTTTACTTGTAACCTTCTTCAGAAAGATTTTTCGTGGTTCGAACCAGTGCGCGTTATCGTTCTTCCTATTTGATCCCTTGTTTCACCTTTTCACATGACAGTCTCAATTATCTGTAAAAGCTGCGTACATACGTATAATCATCTCCAACTGAGGTAAAATAATAGGTCGAATGCATATGGATCTAAATGAGGCGTATTATTGCCAATAATGTATCAGTGAAGTTGTGGGGCTTATTGTACAAAATTGAACCAAACTGGCTGTTTATAAATATTTATTATTCAATATTCGGTTCCTGTAAATGTTTGAAACAAAAAGCATACTTTACTTTCTTTCACTTTTTATACGTCGATATCGTTTAATGCCCCTTTAACAATGAACCAAAACCTATACATTAGTTATAGTAAGCTATAAGAGAAACCGGGATGACAAAATTTACTATATTTAAAGTAGAAAAAAAACCAACCGATTTATCATTTTTATACTAAAATACCTAAACAAAAAACAAACCAACATAATGAGACGGATACAAACTGAAACCACCGGATTATAGAATCACATTTAGAATGCGGAGGGTTACACTCAACCATCCACTGCGTGATTACAAAATCCCTGACTAATATTTTATACGAGTAGATCATTTACGTTTACTAAATCTAAAACATCACTACAAACACGGATATAGTGTACGAGAAAGGAAAACTACACCCTAAAAAAGGTTTCATAGGAAAATCATTGCCGAGAAAGGAATATTAACAATAGGGAGCGAAAAATCTTCTCTTTTGTCGTAAATTTTAGTATAAAGTTTCCTTCGTTGAACTACAATATCGAAATCAAGATTCGTCCTGAACATGCATGAACTATTTGCCACTGGACGTAAAGCAACCAATAATCAATCAATCAATTCGAATCAAGAAAATATATATTTTTATAATGTAAAAAGTAAAAACAAAAGTTACACTCTTTTAATTTTCTTCCAGAAACAGAAGTCTAAATCATTAGTTTCCAATAGCTTACTCATAGTTTATTATCTCACAAGCATTATGACATTTTAATTACCGCTCTTGTAAAACCGAAAGATGAGTGAGACTGGACGGAGCACTATATCTTTCACATTACCAACAGAACGAACCTGGGAAAACAGTGATGATGGCGAGGAGGACACTCATATCCCAGAACAATCTAACCATACGAAAACTGAAAACATTACATTAAACAAAACAACAGGTCTGCAGTTATTTAGTGACAACATCATAAAGCAAGACCAAAATGCCACATCAAAAAATTCCAAGGAAAATCAACAAACAATAGCAGATGAAACAATAGCGTCAGGTGGGAAAAGTAGTCCAGAGAACATGGATAAACATGATGACGATAATACGGAGATTATTGAAAAAGTAGCGCAGAGTAATATAACAGATAACTTTTCTATAACAAATTATACACAATCAGAAATTTCAGAGCAAACAACTGAATCAAAAGAGTTATGCACTAACGACCAAGTACCGCCTATTGACTTGAGTGGAAAACGCAATGAGAAAGAAAACAATAAAGATGGAAGTTCTCGAAAGGATAACATTAAACGGCACCCAAGTAACAGAAGGGTTCAGAAGGTAGGGTTTAGTCCTAGGCGACAAACTATTGCTCTTCAGAGAGAAAAACACAGAAAAGAAGAAATCCGACGACAACCACTAGAAATAAAGCGACAGTCTCTCGACATAACAAGTTTGAAAGACAAGCAAGACGACAACCGTCGTCAGTCGAGACTTCCATCACTTCAAAGTATGGGATCAAACATAGCTAACCTTCTTAGGTCAGCTCGACAAAGGTAAGTAAGAAATCAAAATAACATTTTACTGAATGTTGTGTGTTCGACGCGCATTTCTGGCTTTACCTTTATCAGGAAAGCTCAAAGCCAACTATTTGAAAGCCAATGATGTATAAGTACCGAAACATTTGGAGAGCTATATTGTTCTTAGATACATGATTATTTTATAAGTAGTTATGTGCTTTGAACAAACTAAACTGTCAGTGCTTGCGAGTACTCTAAGTTCTGTACTTAGTGTCTTTTTTGTTGTGGGGATTTATAAATACCCCGCCACGTCTGGTCTGTTTGTTACTTGTTTTTCTGATTTGTATCGATCTTATGAATTAAGCCCTTTCATCTGATTTGTATAGTTTGTTCATACATTGTGCTGTTACACCGCTGTCCCATGTTAGGGGGACGGTTGGGCGACAGCAAACATATTTAATCCCGCCACATTCTGTATGTGCCTGTCCCAAGTCAGGAGCCTGTAATTCAGTGGTTGTCGTTTGTTGCTATATATCATATTTGCTTTTTGTTCATTATTTTGTACATAAATCAGGTCGTTAGTTTTCTCGTTTGAATCGTTTACATTTGCCATTTCGGGGCCTTTTATAGCTGACTATGCGGAATGAGTTTTGTTCATTGTTGAAGGTCGTATGGTGACCTATGGTTGTCAACTTCTATGTCATTTGGTCTCAGGTGGAGTGTTGTCTCATTGGCAATTATACCACATCTTCTTATTTTTAATCGTCCTGAACATGCATGAAATATTTGCCACTGGACGTTAAGTAACCAACAATCAATCAATCTTATTTTTAAATATGACCAAAAGGGACGAAAACAATTATACACCATCATGATAAAAAAAAGTCATTATCTATTTTTTCATGAACCTTTTGATTCAAAACCAATCTAATTAAAATTAAATCCTTTAATTGCTCCCGTTCTGAAGGATTCACCTTGATGCGCGACATATCAGAACAGGAGCGATTAAAGGATTTAATTTTAATTAGATTGATTCAAAACGTGTAAAATGGATCATTTTTGAATGAGAATAAAGCGTTATTGAATTCTAGATTTTTTTTTAATACAGATGAACGTGGATACTACTATACAAGATCTTCTTATAACAATTCCAATATGTTTTCTGGCAAATAGAATATTTAGTGGAATTAAGTGCATGTATCAAACAATTAAAACAGTCAATTATTTTATATGCAATTTACCATATTGTGCAAAGTTCCCTATGATACAATTCAAATATATTTATTATGTTGAAATCATTTCTGACACGAATAATAATATGATATTTAACTTTCAAATGAAATGACGCATGGGATTAATATATATACACACATAGATTGTTCTTTTCAAAAAATAAACAGGAGTGATTTTTAAAACCAGATTAAATAATTAACAAAAGAAATAAAGATATTTTGCTGCAAGTATTATAAAATCTTTTGGCCTTTTTGGCAGCTAGTTGCAGTTGCATTTAAAAAACGTAGATCAATTTTATGTGAACTAAACTTCAAAAACAAGAAAACTGAGATGAATATATTGGAATAAAACATTAGACAATTATTTTATATATGTACAAATCGGATTCATGGAGGAGGATTTTGATATAACACAAACAGGAGATAGGTAGGGAACTTTCGCAAGGCGTAAAATAAAGGTATTTAAGCGCTCAGCAGACAGACAAGGAGACTGACTATAGGCATAAAGCAAAGGCATTGCTGCTGCGCTCCGTATACAGGTAAGAGAACTTACTCGAGACGTAAAAGTCATATATTGCTTAGTAGACAGACAAGATAACTACTAGTAATTCATGGCGTAAAAGACATGCATTGTTATGCTCAGTAGACCGGTAAGAGATTTACACGAGCCATAAAGGTATTGCCGTGCTATGTAGACCAGTAAGAAAACTTAATCAAGGCGTAAAATATGAGCATTACATCACCCAACAGACACATATAGGAACTTACATAAGGCGTAAAATACATGCATTACATCGCTCAGCAGACAGGTATGGGAACTTACATTAGGCGTAAAATACAGGCATTACAGGCGCTCAGCAGACAGGTATGGGAACTTACATTAGGCGTAAAATACAGGCATTACAGGCGCTCAACAGACAGATATGGGAACTTACATTAGGCGTAAAATACAGGCATAACAGGCGCTCAGCAGACAGGTATGGGAACTTACATTAGGCGTAAAATACAGGCATTACATCGCTCAGCAGACAGGTATGGGAACTTACATTAGGCGTAAAATACAGGCATTACATCGCTCAGCAGACAGGTATGGGAACTTACTCAATGCGTTAATTAAAGGCATTGCAGCGCTCAGCAGTCAGTCAAGAGAATCTTACTGAAGGCATAAAATATAGCATTGCAGTGCTCAGCAGTCAGTCAAGAGAATCTTACTGAAGGTATAAAATAGAGCATTGCAGCACTCAGCAGTCAGTCAAGAAAATCTTACTGAAGGTATAAAATAGAGCATTGCAGCACTCAGTAGTCAGTCAAGAGAATCTTACTGAAGGCATAAAATATAGCATTGCAGCACTCAGCAGTCAGTCAAGAGAATCTTACTGAAGGCATAACATTTAGCAATTCAGTGCTCAGCAGTCAGTCAAGAGAATCTTACTGAAGGTATAAAATATAGCATTGCAGCACTCAGCAGTCAGTCAAGAGAATCTTACTGAAGGCATAAAATATAGCATTGCAGTGCTCAGCAGTCAGTCAAGAGAATCTTACTGAAGGTATAAAATAGAGCATTGCAGCATTCAGCAGTCAGTCAAGAGAATCTTACTGAAGGCATAAAATATAGCATTGCAGCGCTCAGCAGTCAGTCAAGAGAATCTTACTGAAGGCATAACATTTAGCAATTCAGTGCTCAGCAGTCAGTCAAGAAAATCTTACTGAAGGTATAAAATATAGCATTGCAGCACTCAGCAGTCAGTCAAGAGAATCTTACTGAAGGCATAAAATATAGCATTGCAGCACTCAGTCAAGAGAATCTTACTGAAGGCATAAAATATAGCATTGCAGCGCTCAGCAGTCAGTCAAGAGAATCTTACTGAAGGCATATAATATAGCATTGCAGCACTCAGCAGTCAGTCAAGAGAATCTTACTGAAGGTATAAAATATAGCATTGCAGCACTCAGCAGTCAGTCAAGAGAATCTTACTGAAGGTATAAAATATAGCATTGCAGCACTCAGCAGTCAGTCAAGAGAATCTTACTGAAGGTATAAAATATAGCATTGCAGCGCTCAGCAGTCAGTCAAGAGAATCTTACTGAAGGTATAAAATAGAGCATTGCAGCACTCAGCAGTCAGTCACGAGAATCTTACTGAAGGTATAAAATATAGCATTGCAGCGCTCAGCAGTCAGTCAAGAGAATCTTACTGAAGGTATAAAATAGAGCATTGCAGCACTCAGCAGTCAGTCAAGAGAATCTTACTGAAGGCATAAAATATAGCATTGCAGCGCTCAGCAGTCAGTCAAGAGAATCTTGCTGAAGGTATAAAATAGAGCATTGCAGCACTCAGCAGTCAGTCAAGAGAATCTTACTGAAGGCATAAAGTATAGCATTGCAGTGCTCAGCAGTCAGTCAAGAGAATCTTACTGAAGGTATAAAATAGAGCATTGCAGTGCTCAGCAGTCAGTCAAGAGAATCTTACTGAAGGCATAAAATATAGCATTGCAGTGCTCAGCAGTCACTCAAGAGAATCTTACTGAAGGTATAAAATAGAGCATTGCAGTGCTCAGCAGTCAATCAAGAAAATCTTACTGAAGGTATAAAATTTAGTATTGCAGCGCTCAGTAGTCAGTCAAGGGAAATTACTGAAGGTATAAAATAGAGCATTACAGTACTCAGCATTTAGTCAAGAGAATCTTACTAAAGGCATAAAATATAGCATTGCAGCGCTCAGCAGTCAGATAAGGGAACTTACTTAAGCCGTAAAATACAGGCATTACAGTGATTAGTTTTCCATATTTAGTGTTAATGGTGATAACATTACTATATTTAACTTAAATACTAGTAGTAGAACTTTACTAAGGTTGGTGATTATTCAAACTCACATTGACGACAGATAGTGATCTTCGTTTTTGTTTTATCTAATGGTTGTTATTTTTTCAATTTCCCGTATATTGTAAAATTGAGAATGGAAATTATGTGTTAATACATTTTTTAGGTAAACTGATGTTGGTGATACATTGATGAAATAGTTACAATAAATAGTGATACTTTTATTTCCTACTATTTGTGTTTTAACAATTATTCGACTTCACATATTTTTGTTACATATACTACTTTAGTTAGCATTTGTTTGATTCTACATTTTCTGTTAACAGGAATACTAAATATGGTCACATTTTCTGTTAATATGAATGCTTTGTGTTCGCATTTTCTATTAACAGGAATACTCTGTGCTCACATTTTATGTTAACAGGAATACTTAGTGCTCACGCTTTCTGTTAACAGCGTACTTTGTGTTTATATTTTCTGTCTATAGGAATGCTTTGTGTTCACATTTTCTGTTAGCAGGAATACTTTGTGTTCACTTTTTTTCTGTTAACAGGAGTACTTTGTGTTCACTTTTTTTCTGTTAACAGGAATACTTTGTGTTCACTTTTTTTCTGTTAACAGGAATACTTTGTGTTCACTTTTTTTCTGTTAGCAGGAGTACTTTGTGTTCACATTTTCTGTTCATAAGAATACTTTGTGTTCACGTCATTTAATTTAGTCGGTAATTATTCGTTTGATATTCTTAAAAAGATTTAGTTTTTTATGTGTGATCATGATAATAGGTTATAACTGTACTGACTGAACATTGTGTGACAGTCCATCTTTTCTAATAAAAAGAAGAAAAAGAATATAAAGAGAAAAAGAAAGAAAATTTTACTCTTGATTTATTTGGTTTGTAGTGTAATACATGGAATTGGTCTAAGAAAACCGGACATTGTCGACAATAAAGTCAAGTTAGAAGTTGACAGATTATGGAAGATCAGGACAAATCTAATTAGAAAAGAAAGGTAAAAACTTGTATTAGGAATTATATTTATATTTCGTCTTGAATATAGATCTGTTACAGTAGCAAATATGTCTTAAACGAAATTGGGATCTTGAAATAAAAGCTATAGCAGTTTTATGGTTTTGTAAGTTAGTTCTAAATTTTCAAAAGTTTACAATAACAAATAAATATGCTTCTTTAATTCAAATTTGTTCTTATTATACAGTCAAATAGAGATTAGGACCGGATTAAATAGCATAAAATCATCTTCAATAAGTGCTGTCAATCTCAATGAAACAAAGAAAGGGTTGTGGAAATTAGTGCAAAAAAAAATAAATAAACAAAATGAATATATAATGACGGTTTTTAAATGTTATTTCCTTATTTAACACAGCCATGGAAGAGAAAACATTTTGAAGCTGAAGTCTCTTATAACTGACACAGTGGAACTACTAGGACGAGTCCGTGTCAACGTCAGAGAAAAAGAAATGTATGTACAATGTGGTTTTTATTGTTTACTTGTATAAGTTATTTTTCGTCTGTAACCTCCCGGATAATTTGAGACCACCCCGATTATTTTTATGGGGCTCCTGTTGTTCAGTCCTTAGTTTTCTATGTAGTATTTTTTTGATGTGGTTCCTGTTGCCCAGTCCTTAGTTTTCTATGTAGTATTTTTTGATGTGGTTCCTGTTGCCCAGTCCTTAGTTTTCTATGTAGTATTTTGATGTTGTTCCTATTGCCCAGTCCTTAGTTTTCTATGTAGTATTTTTTTTTATATGGTTCCTGTTGCTTAGTCCTTAGTTTTCTATGTAGTATATTTTTGATGTGGTTCCTGTTGCTCAGGCCTTGGTTTTCTATGTCTATTTAAGATGCCAATTCACACATGCTATTAAAATTAGTAATTTGACACTTCTTGATACATTTTCCGTTAAAGTCACCCATCAGTAAAATTTCATAACTGGAGGTTGCTAGCTTTGAGCAGTATACGTATCATCAAGCTTAGCAGGTCTATCATTAGTTTTTAAGAAAGTTTCAACCATGCAAAATAAACTTACATTATCCATAGTAAGATGATTATTTAGTTCATGTATTTTGCTAGAGACACCGCGGATGTTTAAAAAGTCTATTTTAGAAACTGGCGTAGCTTTGAACTTACCATTACGACCACGTTTATGCGTACTGTTTTAGTTCACCTGGCCCAAAAGGGCCAAGTGAGCTTTTCTCATCACTTGGCGTCCGTCTTCCGTCGTCGTCGTCCGTTAACTTTTACAAAAATCTTCTCCTCTGAAACTACTGGGCTAAATTAAACCAAACTTAGCCTAAATCATTCTTAGGGTATCTAGTTAAAAAAGATATCCGATGACCCCGCCCATCAACCAAGATGGCCGCCATGGCTAAAAATAGAACATGGGGTCAAATGCAGTTTTTGGCTTATATCTCTGAAATTAAAGCATTAAGAGCAAATCTGACGGGATAAAAATGTTCATAAGGTCAAGATCTATCAGCCCTAAAATTTTCAGACGCATCACACAAGCCGTTGTTGGGTTGCTGCCCCTGAATTGGTAATGTTAAGGAAATTTTGCAGTTTTTGGTTATTATCATGAATATTATAATAGATAGAGATAAACTGTAAACAGCAAAATTGTTCAGCAAAGTAAGATCTACAAATAAGTTAACATGACCAAAATTGTCAATTAACCCCATAAGGAGTTATTGCCCTTTAAAGTAAATTTTTCACAATTTTTCGTAAATTATTGTAATCTTTTACAAAAATCTTCTCCTCTGAAACTACTGGGCCAAATTAAACCAAACTTGATCTAAATCATTCTTAGGGTATCTTGTTTAAAATAATGTATCCGATGACCCCGCCCATCAACCAAGATGGCCGCCATGGCTAAAAATAGAACATAGGGGTTTACTATAGAAGGCTATGGGAAAATTGTAAAAAAAACAATTTCAAATGGTCACAACTTGAAAACTAATTTAAATAATGATAAGGGGTCTTCAGTAACTATTGTAAGACTACAATGGGATGGCCTGCTTTTAATTTAACTACTGGGCCAAATTAAACCAATCTTGGTCTCAATCATTGTTGGGGTATCTAATACTATTTATTATGATTGTAACCTTATTTTACATGATTTCCAAAACCACAGTAGATACAGGTGAGCGACACAGGCTCATGAGAGCCTCTAGCTTTTCTTACCGACCTTTGCTTCACATGAATTATCGCCAGTTACGGCGCTCACTTCTTGGCCGGTGCCCTTATGCATCTGACAAGCTTTAGCTTTGTGGCCTTCACCATTAAACCTGTGACAAATGACAGGAGCCCCATGACGACACACAGACGAAGTGTGATTTTGCTCACCACAATACCAACATAATTTAATATTGTTTGACACATTTGAGTGGTTGCTATACATTTGAGATCTTTATGGTTTGCTGTCACCGAGATGGGGATGCACCCGACCACGAGTTTCACCAGCTTGTTTTTGGGTACGATGGGAATGAGCATAGCCTGAGCTGAAGTTGTATTGTCTTCTGGATTTTTGATACGCAGGAGTTCACTCCAAACCTTCCTGTATCTTTGGCTTTTCCTTTGGGATTATGTCCAAATTCCTGACAAGCTTGGCTACTCCCTTCGTGTTCAGGTGAACCCCATCTTTGTTGTACAGAGACATGTCTATAGCACCACTCAGTAATCTGAAATTGTAGTCATTATCTATAAATAAAAAGTCATTAGCAATTTGTTTTATGCGTTCGTTGCCTTTCACAATGTTTCCCTGGCTATCATCTAGGCGAGGACACAAACCAGAAATTACTACATTTTCGCAGACAGACTTTGCTGTGGCTACAAGTATTTAATAGTCTTCGTTGAATGTGTCACTTTCAAATTTTTAACTACAACAGTCATTACTACCGACTTGAATAATATTGTTTTCAAGCTCAGTATCTTTAGGAAGCGCCAGTAGTTATATCAGTGATTTTAACTCCGCGGACACATATAGGATCCGTATCTAAGACAAATTTGTTCTTGTTAATATCCCGTATAATTGAACTACCTATCAGTAAAGAACCTGTCGATCTTTTAGTTTCCTTAAGTTTGACCGATCTGGATAATTGAGATGAACAAGGTTGGTCTTCGCAGGAGATCTCCACCAGGTCCTCATTGTCACTTAAAGGTTCTGTGGTAAGAATTGAATATACTCAGGTGATGATGAATTATTATCTTGCCTCATCCCGTTATTTCTTGTTTCGTGTAAACAGATTTTCGAAAAGCCATTTTAACTCTACTTCATAGTATACATGATCTTTATATAACTCTCGTAATCAAGTGAACTACAATTGTCATAAAATGTGATCACACATCGTAAATGGCTTACAGTTTATGAGATTTTACATACATGTACATATAACCATATAAAAGCCAAATGAATTTAACATTAAATTTGTCTCATAGATACGTCTGAACAATCCCATTATAATTATATTAGGATGTATGTACTGTTTTATTTTGTGCTGATAAAAGCCCTAGTATTTTCCAGACTCACTGCCAACTGTGATAATTGGTGAACTATCGTCAATAACATTATGACTGGTTGCTTAATATTATATTTGATATTCGTATTAAGATACATGACTATTTTGTATTGTTTTCCGTACAGTCCAAACAAATGTATAAATTATATATATTCATACTGGTTTACCAAATTACTGCTTGGTAAACATATTTTCTGTAGTTAGATTTAAAAAATATATCAAATTCATTTCTATTTTGATTTTACAGATATTCCGATGAAGATGTAGAATTTCATGCCAGAGAAATAAACAGCTTACAGTTACTGTTTCATGGCATACTGGAAATATGGTTAAAAGTGAAAGATACAGATAAAATTGAGTAAGTTGATGATGGATGGTAACCTTAGAAGAATACTTATTTTTGTTTTCTGCATGCATGCTCAATTATTTTAATATCTAGTGCAAGAGGTTTAGGCCATCTTTGTCGGTATATATTTTAATGACAATAGAAATGATAATAACATTCATTCATTATTTAAACAACAAATCGTACGTACCCCTTTTGTTGTTATAATCTACTAGAAAATGCCCGCGAAATCGCGGTACAATTGGGCAAGTGTTGAAACAAAGAGTGTCAAGGGTGCCTGTGTTTACACATAAAAAGGGGGAGGGGTCCGGATGTCGGGTGCCTGTGTTTACACATAAAAAAGGGAGGATCACTTGGACACGTCCAACGACCATTTCATTTTTGGACAGTTCTTCACCTGAGTAAAAAGGGTGGATGTCGTTTAATTTAGCAAAATGATGCACTTACAATACAATACAGGATCCTTATAGGCCTAACGGTCCTATTTTCTATCCTTTCTTTTTACTTTCACTTGGATATCGCGGGCAGTACGACGACATGAAAGCGTATAAGACACGGATCGATAACGGTCTCCGAATTTGGATATTTTCTCAAAAATTTCTGTGGAAAATAGATTGTTTCAAAGACAAATTTAGGAAGTACAAAACACTATATTTATACGTCATATCACAAATATTTCCGACTTTGTATGGTTTCAGAGGAGTTACGGCTCAGTGAAATCGGTCTCTTCTTTTAGTAGTTTAGATGTGTTTTGTATTGAATTACCTTTATTTTCAGATACAAGAATATAATTCTACCTGAGATGATGGAACTGGCGACCGATATGACTTCCTTGTATGGAGAGGTTATGGCCTTATTCTTACAAAGGTACAATGTAATAATCATTATATGGTTTTCTTACAAATGATCTTAATAATCCTACTGAACTTATAACATCTAACGTTTACAGTATGAAAAGCCTTTTCCAAATGTTTGGTAACAGAATTCCATGTGATTATCCAAACAATCTGATCACTTTTGCAAAATATAGAATGAATGAGCAATTGTTTATTAAAGATACTTAAGAGACAGTTGGACCTCACTCATTTTTTTATATAACAAAAGTAAAGTAAAAAATAATATCCACATGAAAAATATAATATATAAGCAACATTCTAACTATTCATTTTATTTTGGTATGATTCAGTTTTTGTATAATGACAGACAAGTCTCACACAAGTAGTATGCATGGAAGCAATGATCGTTCACCAAATCCTCAAAACTTAAAATCTGTTTGTATGTCATATATAATAGTACTATATTTTTCAATGTAATAATAAGATTTACAATGTGTTACAGGTTTGATTTAAATATAATCCCAATGTTACGACCTGTCCATGGACTATACTACGGATTAGGTCTACACTGTCGATATAATTGTCTGGACAAAGATATAACGTAAGCATTTATCAATAAAAGGAGATGTCGGGAAAACGTTAATGAAATAGCAACCTAACAACACAAATGTTCGAATCAGTTAACATAACATAAGCTTCTAAAAAACTGTCATCAAATTATCCTCATAGAAATATACATAAAGACATGACATATGACCGCTGCATGAGGTTCAGGCTCGGGGAACGGAGGGAGCACATGAATATGTTAGGGGGAGGGGTAACCTTTATTTTTACCTCCACGGTACACTTTCTAAAATCTCGAACAGTAGACGAAAGTATAACTAACTAATGCTAACATCTTATTACGATAACGAATTAGCTACGAAGACATTATTCATAAGAAACAATATACTAATGTTCAATAAATATTATTTTAGTTACAGAGATGGTGCTTCTACAGTATACTCGGGTTTTATATCTGGAATTCTCAGCCTTTTGAGGGGAACAAAAGTACTTCTCAAAAGACTAAAGTAAGTTCTGGTTTATCAAGAAACTCTCAAAAGAGATACAGACACTTACATATTTACGTATTTAGAGTAAAACACTTATAATATTCGCCCAAAAGCAGGAAACTTTGAATCCACACTTAGTTGTTCTGATGAATTTTATATAAAAGTAAAATAATTGATCTCTTATCGGGTAAATAAGTCACAATGAATTGTGTTCTTGATTATCTCAGCTACAGATTCATGTATGTTCTATTTGTCTTTTCTTTCCCGCCTTATCTCGTTTGTCGCTAACAAAATATAAGACTTATCACTGGGTAATTTATTGTCGTGAACTACACAACGGGTGCAACTCGAAGAATAGGAACCGCTTAATCTTCCTGAGTACCCATATTTACCCCTGGTTCAAGTATGTTTCGTGTGGACTTGTGGTCCTTCTTTTTTTTTACCTTATTCTATTGACCATGCTGTTGTCTGTCCCTTCTGATCACCAATAATTATTTAATTGCCTTTATTAATAAGGAAAGAAAATATTTTACATTATTCTTTTCACATGAAGGCCTTAAGCTTACTTAAAACTTCATTATCATTATAATTATTACTAGCTTCGGGTCAGGTAAGTTATTCTCATCATTTAGCGTCCGTCGTCCGTCGTTTATCGTCCGTTAACCTTTTTTTACAAAAATCTTCTACTCTGAACCTAATAGGCCAATAGGAACAGACTTTTCCACAAACATCATTTGGGTATCTAGTTTAGAAAGTACGTCAGATAATTTGCCTGCCAATAAACATGACCGACATGGCTGAAAAAGGAACATAGGGGTTAAATGCAAGTCGTGTGTTTTATTTTGAAAACCGCTTTTGATAGAGAAAATCAGACAAAGGCAGAATTGTTCAAAAATTTCAGATCTACCTATTCTCTGTTTATATCAAAACTGTTAGAGGACTTGTTAAAAGAGTTATACCCTTAAACAATTGGTTTTACCAATTTTTAATATTTGTGCATGTTGTCTTGAATATAAAAATAAAGAGATGCGGAATAACTGCCAATGAGACAATCACCAAAGTTCAAGTGAAGTGGATGTAAGCAATTATAGGTAACTGTACGGCCTTCGACAATGAGAAAAACCCATACCGTATAGTCGGCTACAAAAGGCCCCAACATTAAAAATATGAAATAATTCAACTGAGAAAACTAACGGTCTAATTTATAACAAAACAATTTACGAAAAACAAATATGACAGACATGAACCAACGACAACCACTGAACTAAAGGCTCCTGATTTGGGACGAGCACATATAGAATGTGGCGGTGTTAAACTAGTTTGCTGGTGCCAAACCCACCCCTATCCTGGGACAGTGGTGTAACAGTACAACATAAGAACAAACTATAAAAATATAGTTGAACTCTACAATAGATAGAAAGAAACTGTAAATAACAACAAAAATCGGCAAGACAAGATCTAAAAGTAATTTGTTATATCCGAGATAGTCGACTGACTCCTTATAGGTGTTATATACCCTAAATGTCGATGTTTTACCATTTTTTGTGTGTTTTTGCTTTTTATCACGAAAACTATAACTTTAAAAGGCAAAAAAAAAACAACCCAAAAAACAGCACGACAAGATCTGCAAATATATCAGCATGGACTAAATTGTCAGTCCGCTTCTTATGAAAGTTATTGCACTTTAATGAAGATTTTTACCCATTTTTTTGTATTTTTTCTAAGAAGTTGAAACCAGTAAAATTTATTCAAATATTAATTTTGCTATATAAGATCAACAAAAAGAGATCTTGTCCATGAATTATAATAAAGTCTTTAATGTTGGAAACTACAAATAGATCCAGGTGAGCGACAGATGCTTTTTAGAACCTGTAGTTATAATTATTATTATTATTATTATTATTATTATTATTATCTAGGACTGTTATACTAATGGTTAGTATAATAGTCCTAGTTATTATCAAGTAGCAAACAATTGTAAAGAAGTTTTATAACTATTTGTGAAATAGTTAAGTCCATTTACGTTTAATTGCCAAACATACCAACAATTACATTCAAAAGAAATATTTAACAACCTAAACCGATTACATATAGATTTTCATAACATTTAATTTATCTCAATAAAAAAATTCAAGAATGGTGAATAACTGTTTATCAGGTTTAATTTGTTTATTTAAATTTAAATGACACATGCTATATAATAGTATCTATATTGTTATCCCATTAATATCTTTCTTAAAGAAATTATAAATACACTGTATAGTACGCAAACATGAATAAGGAACTTGACAATTTGCATAGATTCATACATATATATAGATAGACGTATGTAATATAACGCATAAGATATTTTTTGAAGTCTATCATGAATAATATAATATTTAAGTATTTTTCAAAAAAGTGTGGATTAGCTATACCAGTAGAATGGTATGTATAAATTTACATTGAGATAACTTCTTTTATTATTGCTAGTCATAAAGTAAAATTTTAAACTTTTCAAACTTTCACATACGGTCTAATTTTAGGTTTAAAGAATTTCTATGTTGTGTTGTAAGTGAACATGACACACAAACATTATATATAAATGTTGACGCGTGCGGATTGTTTTTCGGGATTTACCTTCACAAGGAACAATACTTCCTTATCATGTTCACGTCCAAAAAAAAATAAAAATAAAACAAAGCCAATATATGCAAGTAGAAGCTATGTGACCAAAAGGGACGTAACAAGATAAGTAAAATCAAATAACAGTAAAAGATCAACTTTGCTCGAGGCAGCTAGAACCTTAGTCTCTTAATACTTTCTAAGTTTATCAACTGAGCATTTCAGAAAGATTTGTTGTAAATCATACCAGTAACGAAGCTGCTGAATACTGAGCTGATGATAATATGGTGGTGACTTAGGCTTAGACAAGAATCTTTAACCAATCTACTATTCTATGATGCATAATAAACCGTAAATTACCAACAAGTTTAACAGGAATAACACAGTGACGGTTGATGTCTTAGTGGAAAACTGCAATTTTGCAAATATCTGACAAAATTTACTTTCTAGTTCGTTCTACGATCGACTGTGTATACTTATAATGAAAACTAATGAGTGCAATATTAGATAACCTTTAAGGAATTTACAATTGCTTCTGTTAGATAATATTTATTAGTCACAATTGCTTCTGTTAGATGGTATTTATTAGTCACTATTGCTTCTGTTAGATGGTATTTATTAGTCACTATTGCTTCTGTTAGATGGTATTTATTAGTCACTATTGCTTCTGTTAGATGGTATTTATTAGTCACTATTGCTTCTGTTAGATGGTATTTATTAGTCACTATTGCTTCTGTTAGATGGTATTCATTAGTCACTATTGCTCTTTTTCAGATTTGAAGACGAGAATGGTAGAGAAAGGCGACGACTTGTACAGTCCACAATATGTAGATTTACAAAGGATATACAGTCTGTGTTAACACATGGTCTTCATTCGTAAGTTGAACACAACATTATTATAAATATACAATGTATACTGCGCAATATGTATAGTTTAAGATTTAGTCCTTCAATTTCAGATTTTTTCTCTCACAGAATTAACGAGATTTGTTGTAAATGATAAAAACTGTTCCAAGAGTTTTGAATAATTTTGTTGGAATGTGGCCACCATGTTATTAATGCTATTTTTATGTTTTCAACAAATGATTATTATGATACTAGAACATCAATTATTAGAACGTGTAATTTATTAATCTGAATTTTACTGTGCATAACAAGTCTTAGATAAGCCAGAAGGTATATCTACATATTTCTGTATTTGTACTGTTTAACTTTGTTTTATTTCCATGTCTTTTTTACCATCTTATAAAAAATATTGTGACATTAATGAGTTGAGTTAATGACAATCATCAAGTTCTCTTACCGTATTTTATATAGTATACTGCTCAAGTCTTAAAATGATAACCGCATTTGATCATTTTGATGTTGCCTCAATGAATCTGTTTTACTTATCTATTTTGATTGTAGCTTTGACTCTCTTTGAATTATAGCCTAAGTTTTTCTTTGATGTGTTGTCTGTGCATTTTTAAATGTATTTTATTATTTCATTTTGCTGTTTTATTTTGAATTATTTCGATACATTGTCTTGATCGTATTTTGATATGTACTCCGTTGCACGGTGTTGTTTCAGTATGTTGCTTGGAACACATTTCTTATCTAGATTTGTAGTATTGTTTTTGTATTATCACATTTGTAACTTTAATTGGTGGGGTTCGTGTCGCTCAGTCTTTAGGTTTCTATGTTGTGTTTGTTTGTCCTTTCGTCGTTTTCGTTTCTTGCCATGGCATTGTCAGTTTGTTTTCGACTTATGACGGTTTGAACGAATGTAGGACAGAAAGTTACAGACAAAAAGTCAAGGACAAAAAGTCACAGGACAAAGAGTCACAATTCAAGTTTGAGATTATTTTTCTTTGAATAAGAAAAAAAATATTTTTAAAAACATTTTTGTATTTTTCTTGAACTATTTTATTTAAAGCAACTTTGTAAACAAAATATATTACAAAAAACAAAACCCAATGATCAAATAATTGTTAAGAAAACAATTTGTCAAAGTATCTATGTACTTAAATGGTTTCATGATGCTAAGAAATATATCCTTTGTATGATTAAAATTTGATAAATCTTCATTTATCAAGGCTAAGGAACAATTTAATAATATAAGGAAATTATGTAACGAACTTCTCTTATATAGTCAAACAATTGTAAACAAATTGTTTGTGACTTTTTGACCCATCAAATTTGCGACTTTCTGTCCTGTGACTTTCTGTCCGCTTACCTTAGGTATCTTTCGCCTCTGTAAGTATTGTATTGACTTTTTTCGCATTTATCACGTGATATATTTTGGCTGTTTTTTTCCCCTCATTTATTGTAATTTACCATTGCTACATATTTGTATTCACAATTTTCATTTTAGAATATCTTTGGAAGAATACAGAAAGTTGATCCATAAATTAGGAAACCTGTGTTCTGATGCTTTTTTCACTATAGGGAAAACCAAGGGGTTAGTATAGTTGCAGATGTAAACGAGACAGAAATTCTAAACAAGTAAATTAAAGGGCAGTGGTCATGTCAGCCAAAGGGCAATGGTCACATCAATAAACCAAAAGACAATGGTCATGTCAGAATATCAAGGGCAACGGTCATATTCATGTAAATGAATCAAAAACCGATTGTTATATCAGCAAATTGAAGGTCAACGGTCACAACAAAAACTTTAGGTCAATGGTTATATCAATGAGTAAAAAAGAAACAGCCATATCGTTAAATCAGAGGTAAATGGTCATATCATTGAACCAAAAAGAAATTGTCATACCAGGAAATCACAGGGTAAACGTCATATTAGTAAATCTTATCAGCAAATCACCAAAGAATTATCATTCAAGTAACAAAAATTTAATGCTCAAATCAGTATAACAAATAATCTTTAAAGCAACATCAATAAATAAAATGGTATACAAGGACATTTTATATAATAAAATGACATGTATGGTCGTTCCATTAAACATACGGTATGAAATACATGCCATTGGAAATGCATAGACATATTAGAAGGTCAAACGGCGTGTAAGGTAATCTTATTCAACCCAGGAGTTGATCATACTAGTAGATAGTAACTGTTAAGAATAAAGAAAAAAAAACTATAAAAGCTGTACCTATTTGATTGTCTGAATGTATAAACATGCTGGGTTCAAGAATTTGTATTGTTAGTTCACAAACTGTCCTTTACTTTCACTGACTCTATATGGTACATTGAGTTGGAAACTGTAATTGGACGTAAATCGATTAATTTCATGCATAAATCCAACTCGTGCTTTTAAAATATTTTTAAACTTAGATTATATTAAATTTCTTCTAGATTATATTAAAAATTCTTCTAGATTATATTAAATTTCTTCTAGATTATATTAAATTTCTTCTAGATTATATTAAAATTGTTCTTAACATTCTTTCAAAAGGATAAAACTCTAAAGGGATATATCGTACTCTATTTGTCTACAGAATTCTAGGTTCCTTAGAAATGGGAGAAGGTGTGACAGCACTACAGCCAACAAAGTTATTAGGAAATATATCACATTGTGACGTAGTAAGGTGTGCAGTAGAAGACAGACCAGAAGTTATAAATGGGCTTGTATTTCAAGAGGGACAACAGTTAATGTCTGATATATTTCAAGTGACAGGAGCACCATTTTGTACATCCGAAAAGATTTTGTTACGATTTCCGTTATCTACTGGGGCTTTACCACCGTCTTCAATGGTCAAAGTAAAAGTTAAATATGGCACTAAGTGGACTGATCTCAATGGAGAATTTAAGGTAAAGGTAAAGTTATTTGTGTAAAGAAGTATAAGAGGAACTATTCGATATCTTAAATTGTAAAAATAATAAAATTCTTCATTCCTTCAAAGTATGTTAATTTTGTTATGATGAAATTTGTATCGATGACTGCCAACAGAAAAAATCAAAACCATTGATTGATCAAAGGTTTTCCAAAGAGAGGTATGATAGAGGGGCTTATCAATCACGACAAATAAGGAGAGGGTGGCAGTAAAATAAACAACAAAATGTACAGATAACACAATGTTCGGCCATTAGCGGGTAAATTGAAACAAAAAAAAAAGATTAAAGTTAAAGTATCTAAAATGCATCTAGATGAAAATGATACGTAATGAACAATACCGAAACATTAAAAACCCAAAACTCAGCAGCAGTCCTGTAGCAGTAGAATCGATACATTGGCGGTCAGGAGAAAAACGTGGCGTGACGGTGACGATGAAATTTTAATTGACAATGTTGACTATTTCATAACGATTTTGGCTCACTATATAAACTATCAAATTGGTAAGTTGAGTAAAACTGTACTGAGAACAAGCGAAACTACGTGTTATGAATACGTTATGATTTCGAACTCACTGATAAATGCTTAATTTCAGAACAACTACATTGAGTTTGAAGCCAAGATGATATCTGCGTTTGTGGCGGTTGTTGGATTTCGTGGCATTCACAGAGAAGTAACTACAGCAGGACACTCGTTTGTGTCGGATGACGATACACGTGTTAGAATGAGTATACCAAAAAACTCTTTTAGCGTCCCTTGCATTACTAAATTTCGGGTAAGCATATAGATTTGATTTGAAAACAGCACGATTCAGACTACTATTAAGGTACTTTTAAACGCTGTCAATGGGACAATTTGTTCAACATATTTTGCTCAAATCAAAGATAATAAAACAAAAGCGATTCACCTTGCCAGAAATTGCCCAATTCCTGTTATAGAATTCATGCAGTTCTTTTCTCTATTATCGATTGTTTTGCCAGAAGACTTTGGAAAGCAATGTAATGAACAAGATGTGATGACACGGCCACTGGCAATAACAAAGTGAATTTGTGTGCACAATTTCAGAAAGAAAAAAAAACCAAGATATTACAAATATTGTTTTTTAACGTGTAGAGGTATTGAAGCTGACTGATGAAAAAAGAATTAATATGAATCACAAAAAATAAACATCGATTGAACAATAGCAATGTAATTATGCCATAAATATATCAACAGCAGCATGACGATACTAAATAAACAAACAAAAACATTATGGATAATTCTGAGTGCTAAATTTTGTTTGCTATATAAATTATAACAAAACAAATGATGATTTTGTGAAACACTGCCTTTAATCATTCTCCTTGTACTTGCACAATAAAGACCTATAAAATATTAGGCTTGTTGAAATCTAAAACCTGCATATTAAACCAAATACGCAATTAACAATCGATAAGAAAGACTGGTATACGATGCAAACAAGATATTTGTTGATTTTTTAAGAGAAAAAACATCGTTTCCTTCGAAAAAAAAAACCAAAACTTTTTGTTAAGAATTTTCAATTTGCCTTGCATTTTAGTCAATAATAGTTTATACTTAAATAAAGGAGGGAATACATTGTCCACATTTGTTAATCTTTGGTATTGTGCTCATTGAAACGTATTGATTCAAATTGGCAACCTGATGCAGGAATAAGCGTTAGGGCTTCTTGACCCTGTCGTTCTAAGAATGAGTCAAGTTAAATGAATCAAAACAAAAACATTTTAGAAAATGAAATAGCAACAGTTATTAAAACATGTTTAAGGCAATTTTGGTAATCTCTTCGTCTTAAAGACGGTTTATTCAGAGTTTCAGGCTGAAGTGTCGAATTTAAATAATTGTGAGCTATTCCAAGATTGTTGTTTTACTCGAGAATAAAAATGTAAATTTCATTATAAAGACAGCAGCAAGTTCAAAATATTACCAATTAAGAATACAATGTCGGTATTTAAATAAGGCAGACAAGCTTAGTAAACTAGTGATAGCTGATATAAACGAGCAATGATAGTTACTGGATACGGCTATTCTTCTTAAGATGTAGACCTTTTGTCTTTTTCACATTGAAAACAAATCAAAACAAAATCAAACAGTTGAATAGCTATATGACCAAACATAATCCATATAAGGTAAATTTTGCCTTTGAGAAATGTTTTTTTTAATGTTTTTTTATTGTATTTCACGGTCTGCTATACTACAATGCTTTCTAATTTCAGTTCATTCAAATTAACAGGAACAGGATGTATGGTTATAAAGAAACATGTAAAGAGGACTGTCATGGTATTGTTGCTTGTTCTGACATTCTAAATGTAACACATGACGGAAATGTAGATATTAATAAGCCGATTCTTGTACATCTACCAATACTCCATGATATAGAGGATAGTAACTCAGAAATAGTCTTATTCGAAAGAAATCTAGAAGGCAGTTTATCAATTCGAATCGTAAATGATGCCATTCAATGTGAACCACATGGGAATTGTTACACGTTTGCAGTTTCTTGTTTGAATAACAGGTACGACTATCACAACCATGTTTATTGCAACAAAAATAACGAAAGAGAGATAACAGTTTTTGGCTGCACGCGACATGTACATCTTTATTGAACATTCATGTACTCTCTAGACCAAATGTTTGAATAGCTAGACACATGCCAAATTAGTTGCTGCGATTGAGCTTTAAGTCTTCGAGGTCACAATATTCTCAACAGCTTTCAAGATTTCTGGGATGCACTCTTATTCTAAAGTTTTAGTTGGTAAATTATGTCATTTAACAAAACCTATGTTTGGAGCTGTATCAGGTAAAATTGACCAAAACGATTTTGGATATTCTGTAGAGACTCCTTCGGTTCAATTCTTCTGTTCATTTGTTTTTCTTATAGAACCTTTGGTCTCGATCGCACTCGGAAAGTTTATTCCAGGAATCATATCTATTCCTTTAAAACAAAGAACAATTTATGAACCGACACAGGTTTATTAATAATAATAATAATGATAAAAAATACTAATAAAAATAAAAACGCTAGGGACCAACAGTGGTGTTTATTTCAAAGTGACAAAAAGTCTAATGACAATGAAACGTAATATTCTGAAAGTTCCTAAATAATTAGAAATAACACTATGTAAAAACCCAAACATTTTAAAGCATAAGATACCTTTTCACTTTAAGAAACCATCAGGTTTTAGCTAAGTTATCTTATAAATTGAAACATTAGGTATATATACTAGTCAACAAAAGTAACAATACACAAGTTCGAACTCCAATTTATCATAGAATATAATAAATAGGAAAAACTGTTAAATTATCCAATGAAAAACATTCATTTGCAAAGCAAATGCATATGATTCAAAGAATCTGTCCAAATTGGAAAGTGAGAAAATACCGTGTTATTGAACACAGGGGTCAAATTTATTTTGCGGAAAATGATGACAAAAGTCGGCACTTAATTTCGAAGATGAGAATTAAGTATTCAAATATCTGCAAAGGCATTCAAAATTTTAAGCAGACCATGTTTCCGTTTAAAGTTTTAAGTTCTAATATCGATTTTTGAATATTTGAGTGAAAATACGATTTTTGAAATAACCAAAATTGCAAATAAAAAATTCGCGTATTTGCCTTAAATCAATGGTTTTGATAAGAAAATAACACTCTGTAAATATTAGACCTATTGGGCAATTATTTACCTTGGTACAGTGTATCCAATTTCATTATTATATATGGAAAATACATTGCCTTGTATCGTTTCTTTTGTTGACTAGTATGCCATAAGTTCTAATTATAAAGAAATCTTATTTAGATCATTGCTATTTATGAGTTGACGATAATTTTGGTCCTGATAGTGTAAAAGTGTTTTTGTTTTTACATTATATTCTGTATTGAAATAAACTTTTGAACTCAGCTATTGCCAGTATTGGTGCTACGTCAATGTGTTATAAATGTAATTTGAATGTTATGCTTTATTAACAGTATTGCACTAGGAAAGGTGAAACGGAAAATTCTAAAGAAGAATAAAAATAAATTACTCGAAGAATTTGATTTATATTGTGGATTAGAACATATATGTAATATAATGACTTATATGGATAAGAACCTTCTCACTGTTGGAGTAGTAAAATTGTGGGTAGAAATAGTAGAAAAACGATTTACAACTAGGATATTAAGAAAGCGCGCAAATGAAGGACTATTTGAGGTTCCAGGTAGCAGAAGCCCAGATATTCGCATGAAAGAGCAGGATGTTGTTCGTATGGAAATGGATGGAACTATTCAGAAGATTCGTGAAATACCTTCGGAACATTATTCAATTGTATATTTGTCAACAGCACGTGATAATTACCGTTCTTTCCACGTCGAAGAACGCCGTGATTCAAGAGGTCGGCAAGTGGGAATTTTGAATTTTATAAGTGATACTCATGGAGATGGATTTTTATTACATTCAGCAACAATCGATATTAATCGATATCTTATTAGTCTGTCACGAATCCCTACATCACATTCAGATATTCGACCAAGTAAGTTATATTAATCGATATCTTATCAGTCTCTCGCGAATTCCTACATCACATTCAGGTGTTCGACCAAGTAAGTTATATTAATCGATATCTTATCAGTCTGTCACGAATTCCAAAATTATATTCAGATGTTCGACCAAGTGAAATAATTTAATCGATATCTTATAAGTTTGTCAAGAATTCCAACCTCACATTCAGATGTTCGACCAAGTAAAATAATTCAATCGATATCTTATAAGTTTGTCAATATTCGACCAAGTAAAATAATTCAATCGATATCTTATAAGTTTGTCAAGAGTCCCAGCCTCGCATTCAGATGTTCGATCAAGTTACATATTTTAATCGATATCTTAATCCCAATCTCACATTCAGATTTTCGACCAAGTTAAATATTTTAATGGATATGTTTTAAGGCTGTCAAGAATCCCTACATCATATTATATGTTCGACTAAGTAAGTAACTGAAAGATAGTATTCCTTTCACATTAAAATATAATGATTTTTCTTTTACAGAAAACAAAGAAGAATAAAAAATAACCAAAACAAAAAAATGCCAAAACAAAACCCCACCAAAAAACCAAATTACATTATCCAAAACAAACAACAACAACAACAAAAAAAACCAAACAAAAACAACAAAAGGTTCAGAAAATAACCTTACAAAACAGCGAATAATCTAGAATGAAAAGAACAAGACAACAAGAGATAAAAAAAAAATAAAACAAACCAGGAGAAACAAGAAGAAGTGCAAATAAATGCGCAGTTGGTTTTTGTACAAATAGTTTGCTCACATTGATATTAGTCGTCTTGTTGTCTTATTGGAAGTATAATACAATACTATTACTGTCTTTTAATGAGGTTAATATGTGGTTTTATTGACTTTTGAAAAACTGATATTCTCTGAGGCCGTTCAAAATTCAATTAAACCACATATTTACCGAAACAAAAGACAGCAATTGTTTTATTCCGTATTCCGAGAGAAAAAATGTATTTAATGACAATTATTTTCCCAAACCAGTTGTACATCAAACGGTTTTACCATCATTATACTCTTAAAAGCACGCGATGTTTTGCGCGGTGAATATACTTTTTCCGCAGGTGAATAATGCTGTTTTATTCAAAATCCAATTCATAATGTAAAACCTATTAAGTTTTCTCTCAATATGGAATAAATATGTTTATAATTTAACGCGACAAAACTATGTAAACTAACATCAGATGCAAACTATTTCAGCAACACGTTGTTTGAAATTGTGTGCTTTGTATGAAAATCGCTAATTTGTTGTCAGTTGTTTTAAAAATGTTATATGTTCTATATAATTAAAGCGTACTTGATCTTCTTGTTTACCTGGCAAATAACTAATGATCTTGGTATACTCTCTGGTATACTTAATACATCACGATTTCAATTTCAAACGTCTGACACGACATATTTCTATAATTTGTTGATGGCTTGTTGTTTTGTTCATACTTCACTCACTCATTGTCTATGCCCTGCGTTATTTTGTTTTAGTCATAAACCTTTGAATGCATCAACACTTTCAGCTATGACCAAATTCATTTTACTTTCATGAAACATTTAAACTAGTTAATGCCAACGTGGAGATTTAACGACATTGAACATTAACTACGTAATTATGCCATAATTGTGCTCATTATATCGTTTGCATAATTACAATAATTGGCTTAAGGTATGACTTTAAATACAAATATTACAACTGTGTTATTTACATTGGCAGATACCTATGGAAGATTGACATTTTCCCGCCAATCACGGTCATCGAGGTCATCCGGAAGATCAGTTAAGTCAACATTAGCATACAAAGCTATATTTGGTAAGTTTCATTCATAATGTCCACAAGTATAGTTCCACCGAAACAGGAAAATCTTAAAAAGTTCATTAAAGGTAGGTCGTACTTTTTCGTAGATGCAACATTTGTATTAATCAGATCCTTTAAATAAATTGAATGTTTTAATTTTTAAAAACGTTAAATTGGATGCTAAATGGAAGGTAAAATATGTTCATCAGCTATACTGCAACAGTTAAGATATGAACAATTGGTGTCCGACTTTAACAGTGCTTATTTGTTTTCAAGGGAAGGTTCGTACGAACCCCTCGAACCCCCCTGGCTACGAGTGTGCAGTCCTATCACCCGATGATACAAATGTAACACAAGAAACTTTTTAACATAAAACGCTAATGTAATATAGAATTGTTTATTTTATTTTCTGAAATTAAACTTGAAACATACTATGTTTAAATATTGATAGTTGAAGGTGATTTGTCCTTCATATATATTTGTGGAGTATAATCTTTAATTAAAAACATGTCTATTTTCGTAGAGGAAGTGCCAGTACTGAGTCACCAGAGCTTACTGATACTTGCCGGTGCAATGTCCGTAGAAACAGCGCAGATGTTGGGTGTAGAGCTCGGACTTCAAAATGAAGATATACTTAATTTAAAGACAGTCAACCAACCAACAGTTCTTACCGTTTTCGAGATACTTTGGATGTGGCGAGGAAAGCAAGTCAGTAAAAACGACGCGGACCAACTCATAGAATGTTTAAAGAGAATAGAATCGGTTCATTTAGCAAATGTGGTAGCAAAAGCAAATAGAGAAAAACGCTATTTAACTAGAACAGACTTAAAGTGAATAGTATTTCTCCATGTAATTTTTGTAAATAGTGTTTGAAGTTTCCATCTGTTCATGAATAAAAAAAGAAAATAATTTGTTTAATATATAATGGTGTGTTTAGGGATATGATTTATTTTAACGGCGAGGAGATAACAATACGCACAAGTCGAAGATGGGAAAACAATGTCATTGTCAAAACTAGTGAAAGACAAAGGTAAGCAATGCCATTGTCAAAACTAATTAAAGACGAAGGAAAAACAATGGCATTGTCAAAACTAGAAAAAAACAAAGGTAAGCAATGCCATTGTCAAAACTAGAAAAAGACGAAGAAAAAAACAATGCAATTGTCAAAACTAGAAAAAGACAAAGGAAACACTATGCCATTGTCAAAACTAGAAAAAGACAAAGGTAAGCAATGCCATTGTCAAAACTAGAAAAAGACGAAGGAAAAACTATGCAATTGTCAAAACAAGAACAGACAAAGGAAAAACTATGCCATTGTCAAAACTAGATAAAGACAAAGGAAAAACGATGATATTGTCAAAACTAGAAAAAGACAAAGGAAAAATATTGCCATTGTCAAAACTAGAAAAAGACAAAGGAAAAACAATGCCATTGCCAAAACTATAAAAAGACAAAGGAAAAACAATGCCATTTTCAAAGCTAGAAAAAAGACAGGAAAAACGATGTCATTGTCAAAACTAGAAAAAGACAAAAGGTAAGCAATGACATTGTCAAAACTAGAAAAAGACAAGGAAAAACAATGCCATTTTCAAAGCTAGAAAAAGACAGGAAGAACAATGCCATTTTCAAAACTAGAAAAAGACGAAGGAAAAACAATGCCATTGTCAAAACTATAAAAAGACAAAGGAAAAACAATGCCATTTTCAAAACTAGAAAAAGACAAAGGAAAAACAATGCCATTTTCAAAACTAGAAAAAAGACAAAGTTAAGCAATGCCATTGTCAAAAGTAGAAATAGACGAAGAAAAAACAATGCCATTTTCAAAACTAGAAAAAGACAGGAAGGACAATGTCATTGTCAAAACTAGAAAAAGGCAAAGGAAAAACAAGTTATTAAAACACATGAAACTAGATTTGAGCAACATGAACTTAAAACAAAAAATGGAATTGTACACAAGTACTGCTGCAGGTAAAGAAGTTGCTGCTGTTCTAGTTGCAAGCACGGGGATGCATATGGCAACAGCAAAAAGAACATTACATTCATAGGAAGTTTCATATAAAATCAGGTTAAGAAACACAAGAGCTGGAATCAACATATAAATATATAAATGATTGTCATGATTTATAGCTTAATACTGTTGTCCTTTATGAATTTGGTGCCGACCGCCTATCTGTGACAGTCTCTGTTAAAGTTATCCAACACCTGTTTTCACAAGTGCCACTTTAAAATGAGGAAAAAATGTTTAGTCGCTACACATTATTCTCGTTTCCACATAGTGTCATAAGATTCAATATTGTATGTTTCGTGTAAGAAAACAATGTCGCTTTTAATTGTTTTCAACAAAGAAACATGAAATTACTTTTAGAATCGTTTCCAAAGCCATTTTATATCGGATGACCGTGAGGGCATTCCGGTGTATTGTTGCCATAGACATTTCTATCCACGTGACTTTCGTTTTTGACTGATAACCGAACGCAAAATAACATTCCTTATCGCTTGTTATATATCAATTTCATCAATAAATATTCATGAAAATAATTTTTAAGAACATGAACAAATGATATGAAAATGTTTTGTCGTGAGAAATATATATATCAATAACAAATTAAGAATACCGAAAATTTGTGTCAACGCATGCGGAAGAATATCTCAAGAACGTTTTGCGGGAAAATATGAATGCCTACTCAAATCCAATCTATTAGAAACATCGAATTATTACAGAAGAGTGTCCACCATGCACTTGCACTGCACTATTATTAGAATAGTAGAATAGAATGATATACAAATGGATGAAAATTATATATACATGTAACTGTTATATACATATATAAATAAAATATATAACAACAAACCAGAGTATACTGATTTGTATCACTTCAATATAATAGTTATTACGGTGAGGTTGAATTCCCTGTCATTTATCATAGTTTATCATCCACGCACGAACTTATCTCAGAAAAAAATATATCTATGTACCTTAACCTCACTTTTTGGTATAGAGATGTGATTTTTTTTGTCTGAGACAAGTGCTTGTGACCATCCACAAGAACTTGCGGTCATCCGATGTTCAGTACTTCAGTACTTTGATTTACATTGAGAGAAGATAAATTGATACAATAATTAGGCATTGTGTAGTTTTGTCATTACAGACTTGTGAGTTCCATATGTAATACACTAACCGTAGTTGAACATTATAAAAAGAAAACAAAAAAACACGAAAAACAAAAAAAAAAAATTCAAAACGAAAAAAATTGTACAAAACAGAGAATATTCTCTCTGTCCGGTCTGCCTTACATAAACTATGTCTCTAATATTGATATTTTATTCTAATTGTACATTCTCAATAATATTGATGTAAGCACATGTAACTTTTATTCAACAATAACAGTCAACAATACCATCTACAACTTTTACTAAAGATGATCTACCGGAAATTTACATTTATATATATAGCGTTTACACAGTGTATATTAAGTGCGTATCCTAAAATACCATTTTAATTGTATATGCCATAAATTTCTAATGTAGAATGATAAATAAACAGACGAAAAACTGATGATTTTGGAATAAAATAATAAATAATATAGGGGCGATTCATTTCTCTTGTATATGCTGTTCATTTTCACGGTAGAAATCTTTTTCATTTTCATTAAATAGAGTGTAATTCAGTTAATTCGCTGACAAACTAAATAAAGTCAGAAGGATTTGATAATGCTTACTTTGTAATTGAAGGTCTAACGAATTACAAAAATGAATTCTGTAAAAATAAGAGATTTTATTGCTAAAAATATTCAATTCTATTTTTTTAATAATTCGTCAGGATATATATGAAGGGTTAAATTTATCCATTCCAATGACGTTTTATCATTGAAAACACACACCTTGCACAGTTAAGCACATTAACGGCCACCGAAAACTATGCTTAAGTTTTGGATTTCGGTCTATATCAAGTGTAAATACAGCATGATACGGGTTATGTTCTTCTCGTATATTTTATGTTGGTATGATACTAAACCCCTAACGGGAGGGATTGTGCTTGGTTTTCATATAATGAAGACATAATCTTTCAATCAGTTTGATTGAGGTCTGGAGCTGGCATCTCAGTAACTGCTAGCAGTCCTTTGTTAATTCATGTTGATCAATGTCATTTTGCTTAGTTTCTTCTGTTACCTATTCTAACATCGGACTCGGACTTCTTTAAAACTGAGTTTTACTGTGCGTATTGCTGTGTGTTTTTTATTCTACATTGGCTAGAGGTATATAGGGAGGGTTGTGAATTCTCAAAACATGTTTAACCCCGCCGCATTTTTGCGCCTGTCCCAAGTCAGGAACCTCTGACTTTTGTTAGTCTTGTGTGTTTTTTTTTTATTTTGGTTCTTTTATATGTTTCAGAGTTTAGTGTGACGTCCATTTTCTCTGAACCAGGATACATTATTGTTTAGTGGCCAGCTAAAGCCGGCCTCCGGGTGCGGGATTTTCTCGCTGTGTTGAAGACCCATGATTGGTGGCCTTGGGCTGTTTTCTGCTCTTTGGTCGAGTTGCTGTCTCTTTGACACATTCCCCTTTTCCATTTTCAATTTTATCATATACTAATGAAACTGCATTAATGAATGCATCTTGGATAATAAAGAGCTTTCACACAACGACCTACACTTTACGCTTGAGTGAATGGTTACGCTTAAAGTTCGTGTTTTTATCTAAGGAGCTATACGTCACGTACCGATGCAACTTCATCAGTGCGTTTATCTTGGACATAAAAAGAATACGCAATTTTGAAATTACAATGACATATTGTTTATTGTAACATATTGTAACAGTTTATTGTTACAAGTTTTAATGGTTCTATATCACTGGTATCTCCACCGTACAGTTGATTTCGGACGTTGCTGTGTAGCGAATGGAAGTTAGTAGATAGAACGTCCAAATACTTTTATTCAAAGACTTATGGCCGTAACAGTAGGTATAACATGTTTAGGAAAACTAATTTTATTGCTTCCTGACAGCATTGCTTATTATTTTTATAATACATGAATATGAACACCTATTATCAATTTAAACAACAACAAAAATCATTAAACGAAGTGTCACATTTAGTTTTCGAGCTAACATACCATGCTTTTATATACATTTTAATCAAGTTTGTGTTACACAGAATCTTTGTTTCGCGATGTTTACAAGTAATTTATACACACGTCTATTGAAAATAGTCACAACGAATGAGAAAACCGTTGTTATATCTCATTTATACAAGTTTAAAGACCAAACTCCGAATTTCGTAAAAGTACCGTTCATTGCAAATTTTTGTACTGTTCGTTGTGCATTTTGACAACTCAAAGCCGATCAGTATGGTAAAGATATGTTCATAACATATTAATACTGCTTGACAACTTTTCAAAACTTATCTAATCAATTACTACAACTCTTTAACGAAAATTCGCCGTAAATAATACGTTGCACTTATGGATTTTCTACTCCCCAATATTTACGAATCCCTGACAAACTACTAGCTAACTCAGGACGATGTGTCGCATGTCATCATGACTCTCGTGTGATCTTTACATCAAGATAAAAAACTAGATTTTTAGTGTTATTTTTGCAAAATCTCTCAGAAACTGGATTGCAATCAAATGCTCTTGATGATTGGGCTCCACTTGGTCCCACATTAAACATACACAAACTTCAGGTGCTTTAATTTTCAATATGAAATGTTAGAAATGTCAAATATATAAATAGTTCAGTCGTTTCAAAAAGTAAAAGATTGGTATTTCAAAGGAGACAGCATATGTTCTTCTAGATATTTTTTAGCAACGAAGGGTACAGTACTGTTACGAAAACGTGCAACGAACGGTACTGTATAAACAATTTCATAAACTGATGGCTATTTTAGAAAATCATAATAATTACAATGAACTATGAATGTGGAAT